CACCATGGACCCCTGTGACTGCATGTGAACAAGTGTGGCCTGTTCTACAGGCAGATGAGAGGGCATGAGGGGCAGCAGCAGGTCCAGTGGTCCCAGCCACGGCCTCAGACATGTGAGGAAGCCCAGCCCATCCACCAGCTCAGCCTGGTCCAGACCAGAAGAATGGCATGGCTAAGCCCAATCTACATTGCCAACCTGAAGAATTAAGATCTACATACATTGTTGATGGTCAAAACCACCAAGTCTGGGGGAGTCATAACAAACGGACACCCAGGGCTTGATTGGTATTGGGTTGCCAGTGCGATTAGAATGTTAGATGCTAGAACATTCCTCAGTGGCCCCGGTGGCTGCAGAGGTTAAGAAGCCTTGTGTGCGCCACCCCCCCCACCCCCATGGACCTCTGTGACTGCACGTGAACAAGTGTGGCCTGTTCTACAGGCAGATGAGAGGACATGAGGGGCAGCAGCAGGTCCAGTGGTCCCAGCCAAGGCCTCGGACATGTGAGGAAGCCCAGCTCATCCACCAGCTCAGCCTGGTCCAGACCAGAAGAATGGCATGGCTAAGCCCAATCTACATTGCCAACCTGAAGAATTAAGATCTACATACATTGTTGATGGTCAAAACCACCAAGTCTGGGGGAGTCATAACAAACGGACACCCAGGGCTTGATTGGTATTGGGTTGCCAGTGCGATTAGAATGTTAGATGCTAGAACATTCCTCAGTGGCCCCGGTGGCTGCAGAGGTTAAGTTTCAGGGCCAGATCTCAGATGGCCCTTCTCTCTTATGGTTCCTATTTAACTCCTTCTATCAATGTGTTTCCTCCAACTCGGTCGGTTGTGGGTTTCTTAAGAGCAGGGCCAACCCTATTTTTCTTTCTACCCCACCATGCCCAGCACAGAGCCCTATGTGCACTTAATGTGTGTGTTTGACAGATTAATTTTTCCCTCTGTGACTAAGCCCTTCCTTCTCTTGGCCTGCACACAGCGGGCACACAGCTGTACCAGCAAAGATGGCGTATGCTTGGAGCAGAGTAAACGGGGAGTTTAGGAGAGAAACTATGTGAGATTTGAGTCAGGTGTTTGGTGGGAAGAATGCCTGTTGAGCTCTGTAGGAGTCTAGAAACTTGTCCAAGTACTTTCCTAGGTAGAGAGGGATTGCAGCCTAACATGAAATTTGGCTCCATTGGTGGATTGTAGAAACACAGTCCAGGTTCAAATACAGATTACTTGAGACTTTCTCTGGGCTGTAGAAAAGGGGAGAGCTCTGGGGGAGAATGCAGCAGCTGTCAGAAGCACATTACATTAGGTATAAAAAGAAATCCCTGTGGATTTGTCTATTGTTCAGAGCCTGTGTCTAGAGTGTATCAGGGAGAAGAGCGAGAGCTTCCTGCGTTAACCTGAATCGTCCTAACTAGAGGTCATCCTGTATCGACTATTTTCTATGTCTCAGGCACTATCCCAGATCAATGTGCTGCCCACCGTCTTATTTAACCTTAAGATAAACCCGCGGCAGCGGTATTATTACTGCTATTTTGCAGAAGAGGAAAACCTCAGGCGGAAGGAGGTGGCATCTGAAACCAAGTCTACCCAACTCCAAGTCTGGGGGTGTTTTTTCTAAGCCTTCAGGGTTTATGTTTCATGAAACCCCATGGGTTTGGCTTCCAGGAAGTAACACGCACTGGAAAATGTTCTTTAACCCAGGCTCCTGGTCCCTCGGCCCGGATCACCATGGTCCAGACCCAAGGTCTCTCGGAAAAACTCCGGAGTCGCTGTGACGGAGGCTTTGCAGCTGCTCCGGTTAAAGAGCTTGCCAGATGTGTGGAACGGAATAAAAATCCCCGGAATGCCGTCCCTGTTGGCGTCATCCATCACCATGGCACAGCCGGTTCCTCCCAGGGCCTCCCCCAAGCCCCAGCCCTGTCCGTCTGCATTTGACGCTTCCAATCCGGCTGACAGGGCGAGCCCAGCGGAGACCCTCCCTGGCAGGCGGCGGGACAGCTGATGGATGGGCTCAGCCTGTGTTGCTGGGCAGAGCCAAGCCAGCTTTGAAGAGGCATTTCCGCAGGCCTGTTGGCTGTCGCGTCACCTGCTTTGGGGAGATGGGCAGAGCCTGTGCCGTTTGATGGCCACCTCCTCTGCCACCCACTGGGGACCGTGGCGTGGGCACCTTCTCCTCCAGCAAGACCCTCCCCATGCACTGTCTGCAACAAGATCAACGGAAGAAACAGCTTGCCTGTGGACAGGAGACCGCGTTTCCCGGGCCACGCTGTGGTCCAAAGCCTGCTGGGCCCTGACAGATTTCATCAAAGCACAACCCCCCTGTGAAATGAACTCAGACACCAACAGGGGTGACTTTAAAACCTAAGCTGCCCTTTGCAGCAAGACTCAGCCCTGCACCTCACCCCGCTCCACGGCCGGAGGCTCACAGACACCTCGAGATGGACTCAAAAGCCCAGGAGTGGCGTGTCCCACCGTCCCTTCCTCTACTCGCCCACCTGCCAGAAGCTACTGGCAGAGTTCTTACCGAGCCCAGAACCTCGGGATGTTAAACCCCACACTCTCCACTCCTGGCTAAGTTGTTCTGTAGCCCGTGCTTAAATACCACCAGTGATGGGGAGCTCACTACCTCTCAAGAGCCCAACAGCCTATTCAGATTTCTGGACAACTCTGACGGTGAGGATGTTCTTCCTGTTTGCAGGTCAAATCTGCCCCTATCGACTCCTGTTTAATTAGAGTTGTGTGGACACCGTGAATGAATCCACTCCCTTTTCTGTGATCTCTGCTCAGTAGGGCCACGGCTCCCAGTTGTCCCTGTTGTTCACTGCACAATCCAGGGCATCATGAGCTCACGGTCATTGTAGACGTATGTCATTTACAACTTTCCGGCAGATGGCAGTCACGTGTCATGAGGCCAAGACACCTCTTAATTCCCACGGTGTCCACCTCATGGATGAGGGGTGGGACTGCTTTTCAAACACTTGAAGGGAGTGCGGTCCCTGGAGACTTTCATGCCCCTGTTTCATCACTGGGTGACCCACAGTCCTGCCGTTCTGTCTCTCAGACACCCAGACCAGAGCAGCCCCTCGCAGGTGCCTGAGCAGTTAGTGCTGAAGGCCGGGGAGGGGGCAGCAAAGCACAACCACTATGAAATGAACTCAGACACCAACAGGGGTGACTTTAAAACCTAAGCTGCCCTTTGCAGCAAGACTCAGCCCTGCACCTCACCCCGCTCCATGGCCGGAGGCTCACAGACACCTCGAGATGAACTCAGAGGCCCAGGGGTGGCGTGCCCCATGGTTCCTTCCTCTACTCACCCACCTGCCAGAAGCTACTGGCAGAGTTCTTACCGAGCCCAGAACCTCGGGATGTTAAACCCCACACTCTCCACTCCCGGCTAAGTTGTTCTGTAGACCGTGCTTAAATACCACCAGTGATGGGGCGCTCACTACCTCTCAAGAGCCCAACAGCCTATTCAGATTTCTGGACAACTCTGACAAATCTGCCCCTATCGACTCCACCCTTTTTAATTAGAGTTGTGTGGACACCGTGAATGAATCCACTCCCTTTTCTGTGATCTCTGCTCAGTAGGGCCACGGCTCCCAGTTGTCCCTGTTGTTCACTGCACAATCCAGGGCATCATGAGCTCACGGTCATTGTAGACGTATGTCATTTACAACTTTCCGGCAGATGGCAGTCACGTGTCATGAGGCCAAGACACCTCTTAATTCCCACGGTGTCCACCTCATGGATGAGGGGTGGGGCTGCTTTTCAAACACTTGAAGGGAGTGCGGTCCCTGGAGACTTTCATGCCCCTGTTTCATCACTGGGTGACCCACAGTCCTGCCGTTCTGTCTCTCAGACACCCAGACCAGAGCAGCCCCTCGCAGGTGCCTGAGCAGTTAGTGCTGAAGGCCGGGGAGGGGGCAGCTTGTGGCTTTGGACCCTCCCCGGAGTCCACGTGTGGATGCTGGTGTGGCCAGCTGGGGGAACTCTCCGAAACAGGGGCCCCCAAGGAACTGAATTATATGTTGGCTTGGGCATTCTCCTTTGCTTTGGGGAAAGACCCAGATCTTCTTAGAAACCCACAAGCACGCTCACATACGTTCCTGTGCAATTCCACACACATTTCCTGAGCAGGAGGGCAGGACAAAGGCCAGGCATCCATCTCCTGGAGCGGCACAGCCTGCCTGCCCATCCCAGGCTTTGCTGAGGAAGAAGATTGACTGTTGTACCAATTTGGTCCAGGGATTGGCATCTTGGCTCCAAATAAATCCAAAGTTTAGACGTGATTGCAGTCTCCAGAAGGGGGTTCGGACCCAGGGCCAGAGACCAGGCACAGGGGATGGGGAAGGGAGAAGGCGAGAGGGTGAGGCTGAGTGAAAGAGACTCGCTGGGGAGTGGACGCATCAAATCTCGAGGAGAGAGACCAGGTGGGGACACTGGAGAGCTATCGCCAGGGGTAGGTCAGCCTGGGGCTCCCTGCGTGGCACTGACACCCTCCTCTCAGCATAGAGGTGCTGGCTTCCCACCTCAGGGGGCGAAGTGAGTGGGGGTGGCATAGGGCCGCCCCTCCACCCCGGAGCCAGTCATTGCTCGATGACACCCTGACTTTGTCTTGTACCTGTCACCTCATCTCAGACACCAAAGGGCTGGGTGACCTGGGGCAAGTTGCTTCCCCTCTCTGGGCCTCAGTGTCCTGCTCTGTAAAATGAAGGGGTTTAACAGCATCAGCAATTTGTCCCTTGGGGTCCTGAGACTGGGCATCAGGGGTGTCCATGGGCAACTCGAAATCAGGTAAAGCACTGTGTGTGTGTGTGGCCATACAAACACCTGGGAATGTATTTTTCCGGGAAAATCCTCAAAGGAGTCTGCGATGCCTCTGGACCATTTGAACTCTGAGGTTGTGCCTACACTCCCGTGCCTGGTTGCCCTTCCCCCATCCCAGAGCCAGCCGGTGGGGGTGGGGGTGGGGGGGAGCCCCCGGCAATGGGCACACTCACCTGGGTCCAGGTCTGGGAACAGGGACATCAGAGAAAACTGGAAAACAAAACGACACAGACAGAGCCAGGTGAGTGAGTCACTGAGCCGCTGACACGCCCTCCAGCAAGGCCAGGCGCTTGCCTGCTTCCTCACACGTACCCGTACCCAGCGCAGTGCTGGCACATGGCATTCCTCAAAGAGTTTGTGTTGGGTAAAGGATGAGATCAACAGTTCCTCTTAGAATGCAGTACTTATCGGGAAAAGAAAGCTTTCCTCATTTAGTCGCTGGGATATTTCTTTTCACATAAATCAAGGGTTAATAACAAGAGCCCTTGGGCCAGACCCTGCAGTTGTGGTTTCATAAATAAAGTTTTATTGGAACACGCCATGCCCATTTGCTGACATGGTGCTAATGGCTGCTTTTGTGCTGCCATGGAGGGGAGTTGTGACGGAGACAGTATAGCACCATATATTTGTCTGGCACTTTACAGACAACGTTTGCTGACTTCCAACTTGGAAAATGAGAGGTCTGTCGCCCAATACGTTTCCTTTTGGGCCCTGGTGGCCAGAAAGCTGGTCACCGCGATGCACCTTCCGGCTGCCTACGTCTATCTAGGCAGCACCAGTTCTAGCTTTATTTTTAGTTCTGTTTTACTGTAGGCTTCCTTACCCATTTGGGGAACGAGGCAGATGCTAAATTAGGAAAGGTAAAAAGAAGGAACGCATCCCAACACGATGTACCGAGGGCGGGACATCAGCAAGCAGCACCCTTGGCAGCAGTGCCTGTCCTGCATCTACTCACAGGGACCACGCCTGTCCTGCATCTACTTGCAGGGAACATGCCTGTCCTGCATGTACTCGCAGGGAACACGTCTGTCCTGCATGTACTCGCAGGGAACACGTCTGTCCTGCATGACGAGGCAGATGCTAAATTAGGAAAGAAAGGTAAAAAGAAGGAATGCATCCCAACACGATGTACCGAGGGCGGGACATCAGCAAGCAGCACCCTTGGCAGCAATGCCTGTCCTGCATGTACTTGCAGGGAACACATCTGTCCTGCATGTACTTGCAGGGAACACGTCTGTCCTGCATGTACTCACAGGGAACATGTCTGTCCTGCATGTACTTGCAGGGAACATGCCTGTCCTGCATGTACTCACAGGGAACACATCTGTCCTGCATGTACTCACAGGGAACATGTCTGTCCTGCATGTACTCGCAGGGAACATGCCTGTCCTGCATGTACTCACAGGGAACATGTCTGTCCTGCATGTACTCGCAGGGAACATGCCTGTCCTGCATGTACTCACAGGGAACATGTCTGTCCTGCATGTACTCGCAGGGAACATGCCTGTCCTGCATGTACTCACAGGGAACATGTCTGTCCTGCATGTACTCGCAGGGAACATGCCTGTCCTGCATGTACTCACAGGGAACATGTCTGTCCTGCATGTACTCGCAGGGAACATGCCTGTCCTGCATGTACTCACAGGGAACATGTCTGTCCTGCATGTACTCGCAGGGAACATGCCTGTCCTGCATGTACTCACAGGGAACATGTCTGTCCTGCATGTACTCGCAGGGAACATGCCTGTCCTGCATGTACTCACAGGGAACATGTCTGTCCTGCATGTACTCGCAGGGAACATGCCTGTCCTGCATGTACTCACAGGGAACATGTCTGTCCTGCATGTACTCGCAGGGAACATGCCTGTCCTGCATGTACTCACAGGGAACATGTCTGTCCTGCATGTACTCGCAGGGAACATGCCTGTCCTGCATGTACTCACAGGGAACATGTCTGTCCTGCATGTACTCGCAGGGAACATGCCTGTCCTGCATGTACTCACAGGGAACATGTCTGTCCTGCATGTACTCGCAGGGAACATGCCTGTCCTGCATGTACTCACAGGGAACATGTCTGTCCTGCATGTACTCGCAGGGAACATGCCTGTCCTGCATGTACTCACAGGGAACATGTCTGTCCTGCATGTACTCGCAGGGAACATGCCTGTCCTGCATGTACTCACAGGGAACATGTCTGTCCTGCATGTACTCGCAGGGAACATGCCTGTCCTGCATGTACTCACAGGGAACATGTCTGTCCTGCATGTACTCGCAGGGAACATGCCTGTCCTGCATGTACTCACAGGGAACATGTCTGTCCTGCATGTACTCGCAGGGAACATGCCTGTCCTGCATGTACTCACAGGGAACATGTCTGTCCTGCATGTACTCGCAGGGAACATGCAGGTCTGGGTGGCGGGCTTGCTACGGAGCGGCTCGCCTGGACTCTGCAAAAATGCCAACGCCGCCTAACACAAAAGGATGGGAAGACTGCTCTTCACTAAATGAGACTAAAGAGACACAGCACCGAAATGCAGTGAGTGACCCTTGGTTGCATCCGAGAGCTTTAAAAACAGCTAGAAAGGACATTCTTGGAACAATTGGGAAATTTGAGTATAGACTTCTATGAGATAGTATCATTGTCTCCATGTTGAATTTCTTGAGAGTGATAAGGGCATTGTGGTTCTGTGGGAAAATGTTCTTGTGCTTAGGAGATGCTGAAGTATTGAGGGTGCTGTCTGCCATTTAGCTGCAAAGGACTCGGCACACCAAACACATAGAGTCATACACGAGAGAGCAAGAAAGAAAGCAACGTAGCAAAATGTTCATCGCTGATTCTATCTGGGCGAAGGATATTCATTGCATGAGTCTTGCCACTTTTCTGGAGTTTTGAAAAATTACAAAATAAAAGGTTGGGGAGGGGAAAGGAAGGCGAAAAAGGAAGAGAGGCCCTTTGTTGCCTAGACTGTGTCTGTGTGATTGCCTCCCAGCCCCACAGCCCTGTTGCTTCAGGAGATGAGACAAGGGAGGGGGTGGTTTGCTTGGCCGGGGTGGCAGATTGATAGTGGGAGGCTTGGCAGAGGAAGAGCAGGGTCAGGTCTCGAGGGTGGTCCTGGTCCTGGGGTGCTTGCACGGGGAGCATCTGGAGTTGACACCTCTGGGCTCGAGTGTCAGGGCAAGAGAGGACCCCGAGGACGAATGTATGCTGCCCCCCATCACTCTCACCCTGTCACAGCCAGTCAGCTCTGCCTTGGTCCGGGTCCTGCCCCAACCCACCCCCCCGACCCCATCTTCCCACCATCCAGCTTGTCTGGAGGGCAGGGCCCACCCTCTCTACCTGTCAGCCCTTCGGAGACAGATATCCCCTTGAATTCTCCTATTTTGTTGAATAGTGTGGGCCAAGCCTGGCTACCAGCAGTGCTGAGATGTGGGCGGGACCCGAGGGAGCACTTTAGGGAGCGTTCTTCCCCTGGAAAGGGCCTCCCAGACCTGTACCTGGGCCAGGCAGAGCTCCACATCTTAGTTCTAAACTGGAGCCTGAGGGACAGTCAGGTGCTGTGCTGCCCATGGCCAGCAGGTGGCAGACGTGCCCTTCCCAGGAGCTGGCACTGGACTGGAGCTGAGGGAAACCAAACAAAAAGAAAGCCCAGCTGGACCTTCCTGGACTGGGGTGGGGTGGGGGCTTCAGATCCCACGGCTCTCAGGGAGTCTGAAGCAGCTGCCGCCCAGCTGTGCAGCCTGGCTGCAGGTCAGGGGGTCCCAGGGATCCGAAGAGGCCCGCTCATTTTGTGAATCACAGGTCCACCGTGAAGAGAGAGGCTATGGTGAAATGTGGAAACTGGCAGTGCAAGCACCGGGCCGGATACTGGGGGAACCGTATGGGAAAGGTCAGGTCAATAGCCAGTTATTTATGCCCTGGATCTGGATCCTGAAACTGACCTGGGTGATGGTGGGGGCGGGTGGGGGGAATGAATAGATGCAATATTTGTCTTCTTTCATTCCATTATTCTGTTCAGTTTTCCCACACAGAGACAAGGAAGTAAATGATAGAAGTCTTACTCCTGGGACTTGCAAATCCGATGAAGAAGAGCAACACGAAGGAAGAGGAGGAGGAGGAGGGGGAGGAGGGGAAGGAGGAGGAGGAGGAGGAGACAACTATGATCTCACTTGGACTAAGAGCTGACGTGTGCCAAGGACTGTGCTAGATGTTTCACATGCGTTCTGTCTCACTGATTGCACACAATACTGATCACTGAGGCACGGCGATTATGTCCATTTTAGAGGTCAGAAAACGGCCCTAGCCAGTTTGGCTCAGATCATCGGCCTGTGGATCCAAAGGTCCTGGGTTCGATTCCAGTCAAGGGCACATACCTTGGTTACAGGCTCCTCCCTGGCCTGGGCCCTGGTTGGGACGCATGCAGAAGGCAACCAATTGATGTTTCTGTCTGTCTTGGCCGGGATGGCAGATTGATAGTGGGAGCGTTCTGATCTACTGGTGGTAGATCAGATGCCCAGCCCATCTGCTAAGTGGCTCCTTGCCCCCCGTGATGCCTTGGCCTCTCTCTTGCACTCTCTTTAAAAGATCAATGGAAATATATCCTCAGGTGAGGATTAAAAAGGAAAGAAAGAAAGAAAGAAAGAAAGAAAGAAAGAAAGAAAGAAAGAAAGAAAGAAAGAAAGAGAGAAAGAAAGAAACAAGTTAGCAGAGATTGAGTTGGTCAAAGGAACTCAGCTAATAGATGCTGGAGCCCAGATCAAATGGAGCCAGGTTTATACCAGAGCCTTCACTCGTAACCTCCGTTGCTGAGGGAATCATAGTGTGCCCCTGTCGTAACGAAAGGATGGAGGAGAAAGAAACAGAAGAGCTCCCTAACCCTAAGAGACAGGGTATTGAGCGAGGGTAAGAGACTGGGCCCCTGTTCTTTGAAAGCTTTGTGAAAGGCCTGTCCAGAGGAGCCTGGGCCTGGCTGGACACGGAGAGGGCCTTGAGGTGCCAGTGAAAGCTGGGGAGCCCCAGCCAGTCCACCCCTCAACAAGCCTCTCCACCCAGATTGAAAGGCAGGCAAGCCGCTGCCCACTTCTTCCACCACGACCGTCCCAAGTCTCAACAGGGCTAAAGCAGCATGTGGTCCATTGGCCCTAGCTCCTCTGGGAGAGCTGCACACAGCTGCTTCGCACACATGGAAAGGTAGAGGCTTTGCCATGGATTC